TGTCATTGCTTCTGTCAGAATTCTTACTTGACTTTTCTCGTATACCACATTTTCAAAATCCTGTCTTGAAACGACAGTTTTTCCATCGACTTTAACTTTTTTAAAATTTGCTTTTGGTTTTGGAGTAAAGTCGGGTTTTTGAATGCATCCAAGTTTGAAAGTGGATTCAAGGGTGGACTTCTTTGATTCGATGAAAGAATCCAATCCCTTGAGTATCCTTTTGGCCGTTTAATTTTTCATAGACGTCTTGGGCATTTTTATATTTCTTCATCAAAAGTTCATTGGTTTGAAGCTTCTGATGAAGAATTTCCCGCTCTTTTTGAAAGAAATCTTTAAGAGCTACAAAACTTAGTCTCTCTGCCTCAGATTCTTTTAAGGCCTTAGTTTACTTTTCTAGGTCCTTAGTTATTCGTTTGTTTAATTCCAGAAGTTTATCTTCCTCTGATTTCTTAGGTGTGCTTATGCGAGTCTTTTCCTTTGCGAGTTCAGCTTTTTCTTCGGTTAGAAGATCAATTTCTCTTTTGTAGAAACTTGCTTCTTTTTCCGCTTTTATCCTTTCAGATATTTCAAAATTTAATTTCTTTTTTAATTTTAAGAAATCTTCTGAAAGTTTTATTATCCTTAACTCTAGCTCCGATGTGGCAGAGTTGGTTTAATTGGAAGTAGACTCACATACCTGGTCATCAGAGTTGTAGGCAAATTCTGCATTGGACGTGACCATTAAACATATGAGTGTTTTGTCCTCAACGTTTGATGAAGAATCGGACACCCAATTTTCTTTTTCAGCCATCAGGCTTCGCTCTCTGGAATTATATTTGTATTTGTTCTTGTAATAATCAGCATCCTTTACCAATCGTCCTCGGCATTCTTTGGAGAAATGTCCTAGCTTTCCACATCTGAAGCATCAAAGGTCATTCTTCCTTCCATCCTTGTCTTCTTTCCTCTCGTCTCTTTTGTCTTCTCTTCTTTCTTCTCTCTCTTCTCTTCCATCTCTTCTTTCTTCCCTCTGATGGAATTTGGATGGCTTTCTTTCATATGATGACTGGTATCTTTCCCTTTTGAACTCTTTTCGTTCATAAGGTTTCTTGATGAACKTTYTCWRGAACTGCTTTGTGATCAAGGCCAAAGATTTGGCAAAAGCTCTAATTTCGTCATCTGATTCAGAAGTTTCTTCTTCAGATTCCGATTCTACAACCAATGCTTTCTTGCCTTTCTTTTTATATTCTTTGGTGGAAGTCCTTGATTTTTCCTTTTCGTTGGCAGCAAGGGCAAGAGGTCCACCAATAGAAACCTTCTTTTTCATTATGTCATTTTCTTGTGCTGTAAGCGTTCCATACAGATCATGAAGTGACCAACTATCTAGGTCCTGGTTTGCTTGAAGGCACATAGACAATTGAGTCCATTCATCGCCCAGACTTTTAAGGAATAAAACATTGTTTTCTTCCTTGGTTCTGGAGATGTCGTTTCGACGACATTGATTGATCAATGTGTTAAAACAATCATAAGTTTTCTGTATTGGTTCATCAGGGAGGGCCTTGAAGTTAGTATACTCGTTGAAACATTGTGCTCTACGATTTTTTCTCGTTTTTGCTCCTCCTTCCAGTTGACTTGCCAGTTCATCCCATAGTTCCTTGGTTGTGGAACATGCGTCAAGGGATTGGAAGATTTCATTTGATAAGGCCATGATTATCAACCTTTTGGCCTTTTTGTCAGTTTCTAGTCTTTCCTTTGTCATCTTCATCCCAATTCTTTTCATCTTTGGGCATGTAGTAGGCAGGAATTTCAGCCGTGGTGTTTGTTCCTGGAACTCTTGGGACAAGAGTTTGTGGAATGTAAGGGTCCTCCATTATAGATCGTAGGAGGTTCCTGTCCATTCCTTCCAAGAAATTCACCATTCTGATCTTCCATTGTGGATATTCTTCTCGTTGGAGAGTTGGAGGCTTGGTGAGGGAACCAACATTATAAGCAGAATTCCAGTTGGCCATGAGAATTTTGAAGAGAAAGATTTGTGATCTTGTCAAGAAAGAAGATCAAAAATCGAGAGATTTTTGATTGATCGTTTTGATTGGAAATTCAATCAATTAGCTCTGATACCAATTGTTGATCCCAGATCTCTCAATAACACTAATAATCTAGTTAAGAATAACCAAATTATAGTGATTTAATGAAGAAAGTTATGAACACTCAAAAAGAAATTAAAAAACAATTAATAACAATCTTGAGCTTCAAAGGTTTCACTTTGAATATAAGAAAAACGTAAAGCTATTCAAGCGACTCTTTTTACAATAGGCCTAATCACCTATTTATACTAATTAGCTAATAAGAAGATAACTATCTAATGAGACTTTATAGCTAATCTTCTATTAACAGATAACGTTTATCTATTCTATTGATAAGCTTTAACAATAAACGTGCCCCATTCCTACCCCCATTACCATGCCTAACTATGCAGATGAGGTCATAGGTTGAATTTCCCATTAACTTCTCTAGAACCAATAAAAGGCTTTGAATAACACATACATGATATTGTTCATTTTCTCTCTTTCTATTAGGAAGGCGGCGCAAAGGAGGCTCGAGGGCTTAAATAAATAGTCAACCGAGAAAAAGTATAATTCTTTCGTTGGTATTGCTTCTTTCTTTCAAGTTTACGTAGGGGCGTGGTTACCACCTTCTTTTGTGCGATAGAATATTATGGTTACTTGTTGATTGATTATAATTTAGCTAGATAGAGAACTATAAGATAAGAGGGATTCCATGGGCGAGAAGGCATTCATGATTTTTTTTAATTCTTCCTGAGAAACGGCGTTGGCATAGAATTTATGGAAAAAAGGTTCCATTAACACTTTAATTTCGAAGATTCTCTACCTATCTGTGGGGGTTTCCATATCTGTCTCTACGACTCCAAAAAAAGAAACCGTACGTGAGAGTTTCCCTTCTTAACGACCTAGCTAAGAATCTATGCCCAATTCTTGGCGCAAAAGGTTCCTCAACTCATTCCGTGACTCGAAATCCAATCCTAAAAGACCACTCTTCGTCTAAGGATGCGTTTGGCGACAATGGCCACCCTTTATAGCGGGTATTTCAAGGTATTGTTGAAGCTAGAGAGGGTCCATTGGATAAAATAATGTAAAGATGTTAGCAGGTTGCCTTTCAAAAACATGCAAAAAAAACTCCCCTTCCCCATATGTTGATTACCCATCTCATGACACCTTTTACCTACTTTTTTCACCTAAAAAACCCAATTTCCCTTTTCCATTTGTCTCTTCCGCATCTCACCCAATTTTTAAACTGCCAACTTTTTTTTAGATCATCAACCCTTCCTTTGAAAACCACCAACACCTTTTATCTCCACCGTCTTTTATCCCTCCATCATTCTCTAAATCACTCTCAGGGCCGTGCTTGAGGGATAATACCAATTTGAGATTCCGTATAGAGCCCTCAAAAGTTTTATGGACACCGAACGTTTTTGGGGCCCAATTATATATATGTAATCTTGATTTTTAGCACATGCTTAGCTCAAGCCCTACGATCTTCCACCTCTTATTTTAGTCTATTTGGGCAATTATAATGTTTTAGCAATTTAGTCGAACGCCCCAATTCCTCCCATCTTCTACTAGATTTGTCGATTCGTCGATTGCAAATTTGCACTCTCTTCTCTTTGGATCTTTAATTTGAAGATTGACCTCTTCTATAGGCCAGTCTCATTCATCTTTATGTTCCCAATGGATAATTTTAATGATTGAAGCACCAAGCACGACCTTATTTAATAATCTTCCACATTCTTCTTGCTCTCTTTCTTGTTCAACCAGTAGCCTCAACTGCAATTTCATTGACTTGATCGTAAGGCCATGTTCCTCACGATACGGTATCACACATGGTGCCATCTGATCTGCGTATGCTAATAGCTCAGCCGAAATAGGTGGGACCTCATCATACTGATCTCCATTGTTCAAAGCACTATGGCCCTTTAAAAACATGCACAAAAATTGATAGTTAAAGGAGAATTCAGCCCTAGAATCGAGCTAGAGTTTATTGAGAACTTGAAGTAAAGAATAGTCAATAACCATTGCATTGGTAATAAGTAAAATTATAATATTCTAAAACTATAACTTTTATCATGTATATGGTTTGATTTATTTGTCAACTTTATATTATTTTCTATATCTATTTGTTCTACAATATATCATTTAATAGTACTTCATTTAAGCAAATAATTAATAAATAATTGTTAGTAATAATTTTCATCTTACAACCTGTTCATGACACTATATCTATAATATATTATAAAACATTTGATAAAAACTCTTAAAAACTATTTTTTATGCATGAAGTACCGTTTATTGATGTATATTACTCAAAATTCAAAATTACAAATAAATTGTATGTAAGTACAAGTTATTAAAGCTTCATTCTTGAATTCGTGTAACTAACTGCAGATAAACATAGTCAAATACAAGATAAACATTTCATTTTAAATATAAAAAATCTAAAACATAATTAGAATAATCATTAAGTTATAACAGAATACATTATTATCCTTATAAAAAAATATATTATTAAATCAAAAATAAATTACTTCGTTATCAAATCTAAATTAAATTATAATAGAAAAATTGATTATTTATTTTCGAAATTTTATGATATCTTTAAATTTATATTTTATTCAAAAATAAAAACATTATTCATTTCTTAAAAACACATAAAAACGTATTTAACATTTACATAAACTGGATAAAACGAAACATTAAAATCGAGATATATTTCGTTGCATTGCACGAATATCTTCTAGTATTAATTAAATAAATTTAAAACCAAATTTAATAATAGTAATTATTTTAAACCATAATTTCATCCATAGAATATTGCATACAAACTTAAAACATAATCCATTTAGAAAAATAGATTTTTAAAAAATACGCAAAATTTTGTTTTACTGTGATCGTTTTCATTTTATTTTGAATCCCAAATTTTTGGGAATACATAAAATCCGCCGGGGGGATTGCGGCCGTGTCCTCCTTCCTGCAAGATCAAGTTCAAGTTGAAGTTCAATTTCAAGTTTAAGTTCTGCAAAACGCACTTGCTCCAGTTCCTCCATCATCCAGCCCACTCTGATAAATACTAAAGTCGTAGTTTAGGGTTCCTTTTCATTCTACTCAGAGAGGGATAGAGGATCCTTAACCGGATCAGCCACTACAGGTAGGCAATTTTCCGTCGACTAATTTACTATTTCTCTCTTTCTCTCTTGTGTTTGGTTTTTTGATTTCCTGCAAAACATTGTGTATGCTAGTCAAAAACTCGAAGGAAAATTGGTTGGTGATTTCTGTACATTCCGATTTTTCATGTTAGGTTTGGAGTTTTGGAAACAAAAGCATCTATATCCCGACCCTCTGCATATCCTTACTGTACTACCATCAATGCTTCAAATCTATTAGAAAATCGTTTTTGGCAACCTTGTTTGCTGCTGTTTTTTTTTTTCCATTCTTGTTGCTTTCGATAATCTGATATTTCATCTCCTGTATGATGAAATGGCGTGTACTTTGGTTCCTCCAATCTTACTTGCTCTTGTCATCTACTTCACAGCTGCTTTGCTAGACAGCAAGGCCAGAAATCAGTTGGCTCCCGAAACATTTTTCTTGCCCCTATTATTAAGTGAATTCACACAACTAATGATTAGGGTTACTTCTGTTGACGAGAAATTATCAGAGAGAACCGTATTCTTTTTCCTTATAGTTTGAATCAGCAAAGCAACCGTCATATAAAGATATTACTTCAAATTTACTAACAAAAAGGGTTGATTCTGTTTTTAGTTACAGCTACATACGAGGATTAGGCACAGCACAAACATTAATCCATTTGTGGGTAGTCGTTGATGGTATGACCTTTTCAAATTCAATTGTGGCGTAATCTGAATATTTGGTGGAAGAAATAACAAATTTACCAAATATACTGATTATTCAATTGTAAGTCCTACCATCATGTTGCCTCTGGTTATATAGCTGACTTAAACTGACCAATACATTTCAAGAATTTTATTAATAAACAGATGAACAAGAAGAGAGCAAGATATTAGTTCCAGTTGTTATAGGCCATGAAAAAGGTGTGCACATCATACCTTCCCCAGTTACCTCATAGGGTCATGCACCAGAAGCCTAAACTTCTGTTCCATCTTCGGTAATACCCATAAGCAATAGATTGTGTACCAGCAATTAGAACACATCTATGAAGCTGCCCCATTGTTCCAGTTCCACTAGGCATAGCAGCGACAACATCATTGCAAATTAAAAGTCCTAACATCCTGGGGGAATATTCTTCTTTATTTATTCTCCRTCTAAACTAAAAATTTTAGTATATATGTAGTGCCAATCCAACACAAGTCCTTGCTGTGGGTAGGGAAAGAAGAATGAAGGGGATAAACCACAATAAATAGATTATGAGTCAAAACATGGACATGGTCCAAACTTAAATATATATGTAACATCCCAAGCTAACCGTATTAGATATTGGTCGCTTTGTCCAACACTTGGATTCACTGTTTTAAACCACATATGATAGAGGAGAATCCGGTTTCTTATAAGGCAACTTCGTTCCCCTCCCCAACCATTGTGGGATCTTACAATCCACCCCCCTTGGGAGCCTAGCGTCTTCACTGGCACACTAGTCCGGTTCCCGACTCTAATACCATCTGTAACATCCCAGGCTAACCGTACTAGATATTGTCCGCTTTGTCCACACACCTGGACTCATGGTTTTAAAACGCGTCTGATAGAGGAGGTATCCAGTCCCTTAAGGCAACATCGTTCCCCCAACCAATGTGGGATCTTACAATCCAAAAGCTCTTATGAAGCTTCTGCATTTGGAAAGACAAGATGCAAATAGATATATTGATCTAAGGGAAAAAGATATACCAACTTCTAATGGGTAAAAATGAAGTCTTATTTTGGTGGCTTTCAACCACATTTTAATAGGATCCAAATGTGTATTCACAGTCTTGAGTAGCAGCTTGACAAAAGAGAGGGTCACTTTTGGCTAAGAAAGAGGCAGGGTGCAATTGGGTTTTGTTGATCACTCCACATTAGATCAGGAAAATGTCAGGGCATAAAACACATATTAGCAGCTGCATAAAGATGATGTTGTATAGTGTTTACTTGGTTATGTTTATCCCTGGACATGATCTCTGATAGTTCCTAGAGACGCAAAACTAGGGTACTAGACTAGGTGTTGGTTGATCTAGATGGGAGGAAGGGAGCTAGAGAGGTAGGGGGTAGGGGTTAGGGTCAGGGTTAGTGAGTCAGTAGTTAAGTTTTACGTTTTTCATGTTCTTGCCTCTGTTTGTATTGTTTTTGCTTACTTATATCCATCTGTTATAAAATTCAAGTGTAACCGCTTTTCTTTCTTTTGAACACTTTTTACTAGCTGAGGGTCTTCACAGAAACAACCGCTTCACTCTTTAAGGTAGATGTTAGGTCTACGTACATCTTATCCTCCCTAGACCCACCTCCGGGTGGGATATACTGGTCTCTTTTGGGTCGGTTCGATTTCGTTAAAACCATGGAACTTTGAATTATTTTTGGTGAATCAAGTGCCTAAATTTTTATCATGTCTTCTTTGGTATGTTGTTTAATCCAGTTCATAGAAGAGTTATACTTTTTGTTATTTGAGTCTGATACAATTATGTTAGGTAATCCTCAGAGTATAGTTGTTAAAACCAGGCTTCTGTTATAATGGTCTGTTTTAAATTGAGTGCAAAAGGTTATATGATATGCAACTCCAGTTCTCCTGCATAGTTACTGTGTGGTTGATGTGGCATTTTGAAAAACTTGAGGCTTTGTGAGAAATGAAAGCATTTTGAATTTGACCGGTGGCTAATGAAAACATTATATGTCTACATGTACTTTGGTTAGAGATGTATAAAGGACCAGTTAACCGATTATGGATGGGGGACCAGTGACCATTTAAAAAAGATCCGGTGATAGGCGAAAGCCCATTTTAGTCTAAATTTTGAATGTGGGACCGGTCCTTAACCGGTTAAAAGAGGGTAAAAAAATCCAGGATAAAGATCGAAAACAGGTTGTTGGTTAGCCAAAAACCGGTCTAGTTAAGGCCCAGTTAAAGCCCAGTCAAAGCCCGAATAAATGATCAATGCTCAAAAAAACCAGGTCAAGACCCGTTGCTTTTGCCCAAATATCAAAACAATAATTTATGGTCATTGATAGTGAAATTGATGCAAGAAAAATTTATAAAACATTTTAAAGATATGTATCCGTTTTTTCATGTGACTTGACTTTGATCGCAACACAATGGAGGCGAAAGTTTATTAGAAGACAGTGGATGCTAGATCATAAAACGATTCAATTTTGATCACTTAAATAAGGTTAAATTTGATGAAAAATTATTCAATACGACAAGATAAAGAAAATCCAACTTGAAAGATACAAAGAATATTCAAGAAGAAAAAAAACGAAGACGTCAAAAGAATTCATTAGTTTATAATGTCATAGTTTAACTTATATTTATATCTTATGGTTAATTGGTTTACAATTAAATGAAGACTCGATGTATTTTTAAAAATAATTATCAACTTCAATATTTAATTCTTTTATATGTTTATTTTTTTAAATAATTTAAAAAAAGAACAAAAGGGCCGGTTTAGGACCAGTGGTCCGGATTTGGTCCTAAATCCTTGGCCAAGGACTGGTCAAGGCCCGGTCCTTTTTTCCTTGTGCACCTCTAACTCTGGTCGATGTTGTATTGATTCAATACATTATCAGAATTTTCATCCTCTATTCCAGTTCCAGTTTAGGGATGGGTTTTATATAAGCTTTGTGCATTGATGCCTTCTTTATTTTGATTATCCATAGGTTTGAGCAAGCTTGGTTTATCAAAATGTACATAAAACAGGTAATCTTTTTCATTCTTTTACCAGTTCTGCCTTTATCGTTTGGGCTTCTTTAATTGACTTATTGATTCTCCTTACTCGTATATCTTTTCTTATCTATTGTTTTCTTGTTTTTTTCCTTATTTTAACATTTGCATGCGGGATTATATTGTAGGTCATCATTGAAGGATTTAAGAGCTACAAAGAACAAGTTGCAACTGAAGACTTCAGTCCAAAAGTGAACTGTGTTGGTAATGATATTCTTTCAAGCTCTTTTGATCAAATTTTCTGCTATTCTTATATCATGTTTGCTTGTATGTATCATTATTTGTTACGGTTGCTATTAGAAGAATTTTTGAAGTAAAATTATACATCATCTTCTCTATAAGTTATCCACTATTATTATAATGTACAAAATTTTCATTTGCAGTTGGTGCAAATGGATCTGGCAAGTCAAATTTTTTCCATGGTATGTGTAGAAATATATTAAATATTTATTTTCTCACTTTTGGTTGCTTCTGTAAGGACTAACAGATTGGAAATTACATCTCAACTGACATAATTTATGCCCACAGCAATCCGTTTTGTAATAAGTGACCTCTTTCATAACCTGCGCAATGAAGATAGGCACGCCTTCCTTCATGTATGCTCCTTGGTTTTGTGTTTATGACCTATCAAGTAGTCATATTTATTGTTCGGCAACATATTAATTACTAATTCTTATGTAAACGTTGCTCAGGAAGGAGCAGGACACCAAGTTCTATCAGCTTTTGTTGAGATTGTATTTGATAACTCTGACAATCGTATCCCGGTAATCTTTATCATCTATTAATGATCATATTCTTTTCTTTTATATGCATATGAAATGCTTTTTCTTCTTTCATATTGTTCTTTTTATTAAACCCTTGCTCATGGTGTCGAGATTGCACCCACATGCTTGTAAGGGAGCAAACGGAGAAAGAAACAATGGAAAGAGGGAAATGTTTAAACTAACATTCTAGGATAAACAACATGAACAAAACATGTAAAAAATGACAAGTGGAGATAGTAATTGATGCCGTGGAGATGAAAGTGAGTATTTGTGAAAGATCTGTCATCAAATAAAATTAATTTATTTTTTGAATAAAATCATGAGAGGGTCTAGTGACTACATCCTTTTATATATTTTGTAAGGTCTACTTGTTATCTCCACAAAAGATTTTTCACAAATTTGCATAAAGTCGCATGAAAGATAGCAAATTGGATTTTCTCAAGACATTCAGGTTATAAAATTTGAAGTAGTTGATCAACTAAAAGAAAGCTCTTGCTTAGTCAAAGTCATAGACCGAGCAAGAGTTTCAACTGGGTGTTAGTAATCCTAGTGGATCTCAGCAGTAAAGCTGTTCACGAACATACAACCTGCTAAACCTGGTCCGCCCGACCCTTTAGAAAAGCGGACTTGGACAACCGTTCTCGAAAAAATGAGCGTACCTGGGCTAGATTGTTAAAATTAATGGGTGGGCCCAGGCGATGAAAAAGAGCAGACAGGGGAGTCCTTTTATATTTTTTGTAATTAGTTAAATTTTACATATAATCAATACTTTATTACTTATTTTATCCATAATATTTTAGAAGCCCACTTGTCTGGTTTTGGGATGAACTGCCTCTACTAAGTACCAATAGCCTCCTAAACATATATACTTTACGTGATATGTCATATAGTATGTCACAAACTTTACGTGATATGTCATATAGTATGTCACAAATCTTGATTTTGAAGTATTATGTGGTCAAATATTTGGTTGAAGAATCCGAACTGGATATTGATAAATTTTTGGAGAAGAAATGTGCATTCTTATATATTATGAAAATTAATTTTTTTTCTTTAAGCTGTACATTGTTATGTTTTTATGTCTTGTTTTAAGTTGGAAAAAATTATGTGGTTTGAATATTTTACATAACTTATTGGGCCCTTTAGCCTGTGGGCAAACCTGAGCTGTTCATAGGACAGGTATGGGCAAGTTATTAAGACAACGAAAACAAGTCTAGGTTTGGTGTATTAGGCTCGGACAAAAGAATTAGGTTAGGCCCGTGCCAGGCCCAAGCCTGCAAATGATCACCTCTACTCAACAACATAGGGCAACAAATAGCATGGACGGTGTCATGAATGATGGAAGGACCAGCAATAAAGAATTAAAGACACAAAATGCTTCCCGTTCTAATATTCTCTCAAGGGTGTAATTGAATGGAACACACTATTCAAGCGTATTCGCCAGCTTCTTGAAGCATGTGTAATGCTTGAAAAAGTATGATTATCTTGGTAGCGTGCTGGAAGACTGAATAGCCTCTTGATATGCTAGTTAATTCTTTTAGTAGGTAGCTACCAAATGGTCTTGTGCTTCATACATGCGATGGTTGTGGTTTTGATGTCAGACTCCATGGTCTTTAAAGGATGCAAACATATCACCTTTTTCAAGCTTTTGTTATAAAGATTGTAGAAGGGAGACTTTATGTCTAGTGACCAAATCTTGTCAAATGGTGATGGACATAGGGAGATCCCTAACTTTGCTTCTTGTCATTTAGTTGGATTGGAATGTAAACTTACTTAACTAAATGTTCTCTTCGTTCTTTGTATGGGGGAAAAAGTGAACTTTAGAAGCACCCCTAATTTAGTTGAGGAATGAAAAAGTATCGATTGTTGTATAGATTATTCTCCAACACACTTTTTCTGAAATGAAGTTTAAATAATTTTGAGTGAATTACATTTTTCGTCCCGTTGGTTTGTTGGTTTTAACTGAATCATCCATACAATTCTTTTATTACCAATTACTACATGTCGTTTGCAAAAAGTCATGCCATTGTGTGCTGTGTGTGTATGTATATATAATATAATTTTTTAATAGAAAATGAGATAAAAAGAGTAAATTGACCAAAATGCTTCTTCTTTAATTGAATTTAAAGGAAAAATATAATGGCCTTTTGGGAGGGATGAAATCCAAGAAATTTTGCAAACGTTAGGGACAACTCTGTGATAAAAGAATTGTAGGACAATTCAGTTAACATCAACAAACGTTAGGGACGAAAATGTAATTCACTCTAAATTTTAAATAAAAATATCTTCATTTGGAAATCCCATTGGATTATAGTGGAGAAAGTATTCTATAAAAGTAAAACAATTATTTTAGATTGATCGGAATAAATTAATGTATCGAATAAAAACAATTGGGTCTTATGTCAATTCCATGTATGGACTTGGAATTACATATATTGAAGATAGAAGTTAATATAGTACCATCTTTATTAGAAAGTCAAGTACAACTTTATGCACTACAATAACACTAATAGAGAGTATGATAAAAATTAACTTTGTTTGTACTCACGAAGTTACCATTTGATTTCTTCAACCATTGATAAAAACTTAGAAGTAAAGTTTCATTTGAAGTATTTGATGATTTTGACAAGCTCATTTTACATAAACGATTAGTAGAAAGCAATGAGAATTCAAACAAGGCAGTAGCAATAAATGCAAGAATTTTTATTTCCATAATCTCATCGATTTTTTATATCATTATAATTAGGGATTTAATCCCATAGAGATGATAAATCTTTCACCGCATACACTTTTTGCGAGGGGGGACCTTGATGGAAACAACAATACTTCATAGGGTAGAGGTCAGGTCATCCCATCTCACCCCACCCGACCTCTTGGGTGGGATATACATGCTCGTTTGGTTTAGAGATGATAAGTTTCACATGTCAATTCAATAAATGTCGATGATCTTGAATCGGATGAATATCATGAATAATAATTTCCGAGCTATAAAACTAGTTCATGGTCAAGAATTGAATGATATAACAAACGAAGATCTTTTATCCATACCGAATCCAAGATTGGATTCCCAGCCCAATCTGAAATTCCTTTATGTCCTTCTTAGAGCATCTTCAACAGCTTTTCTATAATTTTTTAAAAATAGAGAACCAAAACATAAAATTTCTAAAAGGAATGACATTCATCTCCAACAGATTTTCTGTTTTAGAGATTTTAACATAAATTATATTATTATTATAATATGCTTATAATATTATCTAATCCCAATACACTTCTTTTTAAAAAACCTCTATAAAATAATAATAATAACTCAATCTCATTGGTGGATTGAAAACATAATGATTTCTCTCTCCCAATATCAAGTTTTAGAGAATTCTCTATATTTAGAGTTTTCTCCATGATTTTCTATTTTAGAGAACAAGATAGCAAAGCTGTTGGAGTATTTTAGAGAACAGAAACTCACTTTTTTCTATTTTAGAGAAGCTGGTGGAGATGCTCTTGATAGTTCTGTTCTTTCTTTTCTATAACCTACCTTAGGTCTCCTTGTAGAACCATCGAATGAAGTATCAGCGGACGCCCATCTGTTTCAATTAACTACAAAACCCCAACAAACACTACAAAGTAAAGTGGAAAAAGAGAGGAATTAGGTTTCAAATGTAGTTTTATTGGTGATCCAATTTTCTTATGATCAAGACGAGTCATGGGAGCAAAGATGGAATATTCTCAACTTCACTATTTTAGTTATTTTCATTCTAGTTTTGGGTTTGTTCTTTTTTTGACAGAATCCTGAAAAAGGGGCCGCATGTGCCAAATCTTCATACGCTTTCTCATCGACCGTAGCTGTCAACCAAAACAAAATTCCATTTCAAGAAGATCGGAATGAAATACTAGAAAACAGATAAAATAATAAGTAAGTAAATCGAAGAAAGAATCCCAACACGAAAAAACTGTCTTGGTTTCTGAAGTTGGACAAATAACTGATCATGTAAAAAGCTGCCCTGAAGACCAAAAATTCCAGGAATCAGAAATCAGTGATTTAACATATACTAAAAGATAATCATGAAATCTGTTGGTTCCTGAAGCTGGATTTGGAGAAACTAGCGCCAGTTGTAGTTGCTATTGACCACAATCAGCAGAGGATCCTCTTGGTCTTGCAACTTTCAGCTAATGAACTTTGGGGCCCCATAGTGTGTTCTCTGGGAGATAAACAGCAGCAAACTTAGGTAGAAGCTCTGAACATCCTAGGTTGCTCGTTTAGTGCAGATGTGAAGGGTAGTTGAGAGTGGTTTGGCAGTGGCTGAGTGTTATGCCAGTTGATGTGATGAGTAGAGGCTTGTCTGAGATGGGTTGACTTGATGTGAGGTGGGGTGGTGAAACTATTTACGGTTTCAGGGAGGAAGAGGCGTCGTAAGGTGGTTATTTCAAAGAGTGGGTGGTGATTGAATGTGGACATAGCCATGATACTATGGAGAAGTGTTCTCAAAATGGTTGCGTTAATCACTACCTGAAGTTATATGGAACATATACATGGGACATAGGCGAGATAATGTAAACAATTGAAGACCTTAAAATGATAGAAGCACATATGATAACACAAGAAGGTCCTGTATGCAAATCTCGAGTCTGGTGCAATTAATCATAGGCAATTTTTCAGCCATCTCTGCCATGAGGAAGATCGGATGGTGGGAACCTTTCTTGACAAGGGAAAATTAGAGATTTGCAATATCCCCTCGTATCTTATTTCATAAAAAAATGACTAAATGTGAACCAAGTTGTAACATAGTTGTTGAAAGCGCGCGTGACAGGCGCGCGCCTAGGCTCTGAGGCTCATAAGGCTCAAGGTCTTGGGCTTTTTTAAGGTCGAGGCTAGGCGTATTCACGAGGCTCAATAAAACCCTGCGCCTTGGTTGAGGCGTCTTGTTTGCCTAGGCATGCCTCATAAAGAGTTACTAAGTATCTAGTCAAACCCTAATATTAAATAAGTTCTCTCATCTTCTCATTTCCTAGACTTCTTAAACAAAGAGTCATGAAATAGATGATACAAGTCAAACTCAAACCCTAATATTAAATACCGAGTTCTTAGAGCTTCAAGCCTCCTCGCTTTAAATACCGGGACCTTAAAACTTCTCCCTCACGGCTCATGCTTTAAACCCTTCTCTCTTCTGCCTCTATCAAAGTATTGTTGGTTGCTGCATTGTACTATTGTAGGCTTGTACTTGCTGCATATTTGAGTTTTGTTTAACTGTTTGTGTGTGTGTATATATATTCTGATAAAACGCGCCTAGCACTCCTCGTGCCTGCGCCTCGCGCCTAGGCTCCGGGACCATTTTGCGCCTAAGTGCGCCTTGAGCCTTTTAACAACTTTGAGTTGTAACCAGTCCTGTACTGATTCTGATATGATGAGGCATAAGTGGTGGAGTTATTTTATTCAATCGAGCATTCGTAACTGATGCTAATCTACAAAGCACAATTGATTCCTCAGAAAGCTTTGTTATTACAATTAAATACTAAAGACTTGCGTTTTCCTATCTCAGATGTTCGGGTTACCTTTAGAGGTTCATCATGTCCTACTTGATGTCATCACTAGAATAGTAGAGTTTAGAGGTTGTTTTTATGTCCTGTGAATGTGATCTGAAGTAATGGAGGATAATTGTCTGTCCTCTTCAGCTGTTGACCTTGGAATCTATGCAAATGTGGGGAATTGGCCTTCAAGGGGGGAGTCAGAGAGATTCTTAGGTGATGTGGCTGTATATTCATCGCCCTCCACCCAATGCATTTCAATGATCACGTCATATTATCCTCCTTCTGTGAGTAGGGTATATGGCCTAAGATGTTGCTTAGCAAGGAAAAAGAAACACATCTGTGCTTGTTATCTGTTTTATAAAGGCAAACATTATATTTCATATCCATTAGGACCACTTATAGGATGGAATAAATTTCTACATAATTTGGTGCTATGCCACTTGCTGAAATTCCTGAAATTCAAGCCACTTAAGACTTTCAAACTACTTGTTGCTATGCCTAAAATTCTATAGAATTTACCATGGGTTACAAAACTTGGTGGACAAGGCATACATTACAGGCCATAATGGCTTAAGTTTACCATATTTCTCACATACGTTTCTAGAAAACTGCTGTTATCACTAAATCAGAAGTTTATATTATATGCACTGATTTAGTTATTTGGATGCGTAACCACTTGCTGTTTAGGCTGGCATAATCTCAAGTTTTCATCTTGCTCTTGTTATTTTTTTTCATGCACTGCTAGGGTATTTTTTTTCTGTGTACATGGAATGTGTTCAGTTTCTAATTTGTGTTTTTGGTTGTTAAATATCTTTTCTACCTTTTGAAGGTTGATAAAGAGGAGGTGCACCTACGGAGAACAATCGGTACAAAAAAGGATGAATATTTTTTGGATGGGAAGCATATAACGTGAGTACTACCATATAGATAATATATTTTCTCCATCTTCCATGCTGCACTGGTTGAATCCTCTTTCATCTTGTTGACTGTTATAACAAAGAAGGTAATGCCACGTTGCAGGAAAACTGAAGTTATGAATCTATTGGAGAGTGCTGGGTTCTCTCGTTCTAATCCATATTATGTTGTACAACAGGGGAAAGTATGGCATCACTTTTGTCTGATTTGATGTCATGTGTGCAGTATCAAAATGTGATCTAATAACCATGCATTTATTATAGATAGCATCATTGACATTAATGAAAGATTCAGAGCGACTTGATCTACTGAAGGAAATTGGTGGGACTCGTGTTTACGAAGAACGTCGTCGAGAAAGCTTGAAAATTATGCAAGAAACTGGCAAGTCATTGTTTAGTTAGTTGTTTCTTGCATTTGGCGAATGCTTTCTTATATTCTTATAAAATCAGGTAATAAGAGAAATCAGATAATTCAAGTTGTGCAATACTTGGATGAGAGGTTGAGAGAGCTGGATGAAGAGAAAGCAGAGTTGAAAAAGTATCAGCAGCTTGACAAGCAGAGAAAGTCTCTGGAATACACCATTTATGATAAAGAACTCAATGAGGCACGGCGCGAATTGACCGAGGTAATGCTTTTTCTTTTTATTTGTTAAATTATTTGTCTTCAACTAGGATTATTTGCTTAAGAATTTCTTTAGTCATGTTGTGATGCCTAATAACATGCCTCACTTGGTGCAGGTGGACGAGGAGCGAAATGCCATTTCTGAAGAATTAGTTAGGAAGTATAACTCATCAGTAGATGAAGAGGAAGAAGTAAAGAGATTAGACAAGTCATTTAAAGATCTCACAAGAGAAGTTCAAGGTTTAAGCCGAGAAAAAGAGACGATAGAGAAGCAGCGCACAGAAGCTATTAAGAAGCACACAGAGGTTGAGCTTGATGTCACAGACCTTGAGGAGAAAATCTCGGGGAGTAGGAGAGCCAAGGTAACGTGACCTTGTAAATACAACACATAAACATCTTCATCGTAGTTTTTAAGGATGTGGAAGGACCTTGAAGTGAAATGGCTGATTTTGTTTTTGATTTAAAAATTCATGCTGTAGGATGAAGCTGGAAAGCAGCTTGATGTCTTACGCAGAGAAATCCAGGCATCCACAGTAGAGCTAAACAAAATCAGACCTTTGTATGAGAATCAAGTTAAAGAGGAGGAGGATATCACGAAAGGGTATTTCTCTAGAAATTGATGACACCAGAAATTTGGATATATTTACATACCAGTGTGCTACACATATTGAAATGATGGTCACAACCTTCTCATATTGCTTTTGTGAAGTGTTTTGTCTTTTCGTTGTTTTTTCTCAATCCGCAGAAATTTACAGATCTTTTTGAGGAGGTTCAGATGTGCCACAGGGCCTTCTTTGACATGCCTAGTTCTAGATTGTACCCCTGTAAAACATATGTGCATCATGCATGTATAAACTAATAAACAAAGAGGCAGAGTCCAACACAGAGGGTCACCAAGATCATTTAGTTAAGGCCTTCGAGGTTTTTGCTGCTGGATATGATGGATGAAGTCACAATGCACTTTCTTCCTGGTTCACTGAATTTTATGGCTTGGGTTTTCCATGTCTAATTGTTTTCTTCATGTGGAGCTCTCATTTTATTGTTCTATTCTCCATCCCAAATATATAAAGAAATGGAGACTTTCAAATCAATGTGGTATTTGTCTATTTCTTTTTTGGTATTCTACTTGCTTGACATTTGTGTCAACTGATTCTTGATAGAATTATGGTACGGGAAAAGCAGCTCAGCATACTCTATCAGAAACAAGGGCGTGCAACCCAGTTCTGTTCTAAAGCTGCACGTGATGAATGGCTTCAAAAAGATATCGATAAGTACAACAAGGTTCTGTCCTCAAATGAGAAGCAGGTAATTATTATATTGCATAAGCTAAATGCATGCATGGATATTGTAGAACCATGGAGTAGAGGGAGACCTACCTAGTCTGATTTTTTAAATGGAAAAAGGCATACTTAATGAACTTGACGACATGTATGTCAATGATCTCTACAACTATAGGAGCTGACAATCCTGTGAATCAAGAGATAAATTACGGAAACTAGAGAGACGCTAGGAAGATTGTTGTCTCTTCATTTAAAAGAAAAACTAATAGCAATAAATCCTTAGAGAGTAGGAACTATAACGCTCTCCATCAAACTGGGTTTCTAAGGTTGAACATTCCATCTTGTCAATTTGTCTTCCAAATACTTTTGTCAGTATGCTAGCAATGGATCACCTATAGACATGTCTACATAAGTTATGCATGATATACCATCAATTTTTTCCTTGATAATATGCGCGTCTACTTCCACATGTTCAGTCCAATAGTTTTGATGACTTAATTAGTGGCACAATGTTTACTTGTTCTACTTTTCCTAAACTTCATACTTTATCAAAAATTCTAAGCACTTCATTAACTTTAAAAATCATCAAAATTTCAATTTTTTTTTACAAGCTTTCGGAGTGGCTCTGGACTTCCACCAAACTTTTTGGAACTCTTTTGCAAGCCCATGGTCTTGACAAAAGCCTCTCTACTCCTTGGGATAGAGGTAAGGTCTGCATACATCCTACCTCCCCCAGGCCCTACTTCGGGGATACATGGGGTGCTTTTGGTTTGGTTTTATAATTGGCACAATTTTGCATTTTTTTTTTGTTTTTTGTAGATTTAAACGTAGGTATTTTTTCTCCATTCATGTTTGAATTTTTTTTTGTCTTAAGGAGGTTATATAATAAACAAATGAGCCACACTATGCACGCTTTTCTTGCATCTAAACCTTTATTGGTACGACTTCTTCTTTTTAGTGCTTCTTTTGTTTTATCTCATGATACTATATTACATACAGACCAACAATTAGTATCAAGAAGTTAGTCTTCTAGTTCTCTTACATTCTCCTTGCTATCTCCATTGACCAAACTTGTTAGAATGGCCCTCGTCATTATTATTATTATTGTTGCCTTCTCTATCAACTGATGATGGGCTTATGTTCAAATGTCAAATCCCATACATGATCTACAATCCCCAAAAAACACCCAATTACATAGATTTCTCCAGCATGAAGGTATGGTTGGTCTTGTTGCGGGGCTATTTTCATCAATGATCTGACAAGAGATCTGAAAAGCCTAGCTGGTCATATTCTTTTGTTTTCATTTTTCATCGGGATACTTTCATTATCACATTGTAATGTATCATGATTTATCGCTGTTGTGAGATCTTAATTATAAAATGTTTACCTTATATGTTATAGGAGAATCTACTCAAGGATGAGATCGGTAAACTTGAAAGAGATTTGGCAGCAGAAAATGAGCACGTGAAAGGCCGTGAAACTGAGATAAATGCTTTGGAAGCTCGGATATCAGGTTATCGCAAAGGTTTTAATCAGCATAAGTCAAAGAGAGACGAGCTTCATGATAAGCGAAAGTATACCTAAATTATTTGATCTGTTTGATTTGACAATGTTCAAATTCAATGTGCCTGATACTGAAGTTTATTACCTCTTCAGGTCATTGTGGGGGACAGAAAGTGAACTTACAGCTGAAATTGAGCGTCTTAAAGCAGAAGTTGTGAAGGCAGAGAAAAGCTTAGATCATGCTACTCCTGGGGTATGTTAATATGTTATCATTTCATATGTAAGCTTTGTTGGAAACTCTCTTGAATGGATCTTTGCTCCTAGAAGGTTTGGATGTTGCTATATTCTTGAAAGACTTTTGCTTCAAGGAAAAGTCTAGTTGGAGAAGTTCTTGGAAGGTGATATGGAAATATTTATGAGGCATGTGACTTAAATTAGTTTCTAAAACATCGCTCCTGTAATAAATAAAGTTTCTCATTGTGGAGACACATGAGGGTTCTGTCTTAGAGGAGACACATGGAAACTTCTGATTTGCATGTGCAGAATAATTGCCTAACCTTACAAGCAGTCGGGGAAAGGCCGTAAATTTTACCTCATTGTGATTCTGAAAAAGGCTGTAAAGTGTTTATGCTTGTGGGGCTATTCACATAATTGACTTGAACCTCCTTGATTTTGTTCATGGAGTTGACTAAAGGCCCCTATTGAAGGTTCAAAGCGCGAGCACTGAAATGAGAACTTCTACGTAGAATCAAAGCCTCAAACTCAATTGCTGATGTTATTTCAAACAGCAGGGTTGGTAACAGTAAGGGGTCGTTTACCCAACGCTTACCCGGGTAAGCACTTACCGGTAAAATTCAACACTATCACTTACTTACTGGGTAAGATTTTAGTCCACCAAAACGGTATCCTATGCAACAATTTGCCCGGTAACCGCTAACCGTGGTAAATCATTGCCATCACTTACTGGGTAAGACTCTCGGTCCTTACCTTCGCTCTTACCGGGTAAGATTCTTGGTCCTTGCCATATTCATCCGGTAACGTAATGTGACTTGGTAAGCGCTTACCGGGTAAGCGTTTGGTAAATGACCCCTAAATAAGGATAATCTATGTTCTGATCAAGATAAAGCAAATGAAATTTCATGTAGAGGAAAACTAGATGTTGCATGTATTATTTAGTTGAAATCGCCTTTGTTGCATCTTCGATTTTCATGTTCTATAATATGGAATTGATAATATACACCCCAGAATTGGTACCATTTGGTCACTTCTTTATCTGGTTCTATTCGTATGCTTGTTTTTCTCCTTGCAATGCTTCTCCTTTCCTTGCACTTAAACATCATTAGAAGGATTTTAGTTGGCCTGAGTCCTCATGCAGTAGCATGCTATAAATTCCATCCATATCTGTCTGTTGTACATTTGGTGTTTTTTTGTAATTTATTTAGAGGTGATTTATGTGGGTCGTTGAGAACCTTGTTTTGATGAAAAGCCCCCCCCCCCCCCCCAACCTGGGTAGTGATGTTAATACATATGATATGCATTATAAAGATCTTGTCTCCACTACTTATCACTGTACACAACCATGGGTGTAGGATTAGGTTGTCACAAATTGTGGAGCAGGTGTATGACTAGACTCTTTATTTTTTATGACCATGCATGTGTTGCTTTCCTTTTCATTATTTGTAAATTTGATCAAGTGAAGTATCCTATCTATTTCTTGAATAGAATTTGTTCAAAATGGAAGCTTATATGATTTTTGTTAACTTATTTGGTGCATGAAGAAACTTGTGGGAGAAGTAGGTTTATTTTGCTGGTGATATCTTACTTGCCTAAGGTACATTTAACAGGACATAAGGAGAGGAATTAGTTGTGTCCGGAGAATCTGTAGAGAATACAAAATTTCTGGAGTGTTTGGTTCAATTATCGAGTTGCTCGAATGCGATGAAAATTTATTTACTGCTGTTGAAGTTACTGCTGGAAACAGGTTTGCACCGAGTCTTTGACAGCTATATTTATATCTGCTCGCTTTCGATGAACTTTTCCGACTCCTTGTGCAGCTTATTCCATGTGGTGGTTGAAACTGATGAAATATCAACCCAAGTAATTAGACACCTTAATGCAGAGAAAGGTGGAAGAGTTACATTTATACCTCTGAATCGGGTTAAGGCTCCTCATGTCACGTATCCACGAAGTTCTGATGTGATTCCTCTTCTTAAGAAATTAAAATATTCTCCCAACTACGATCAAGCATTTTCTCAGGTCAGCAATTCGCCATGATTCCTTGAAAGTTTTTGATTTTGTGATGATAATATCAAATAAGCTCAAGTTGCAGATTTCTGTTACTTGGTCTAACAGATTACATGTTGATTTTACCATATGAATGTAGAAACTTAACTAGTGTTGTTCATAATTTTAGCTGCTTGATTCCAATGCCAATTGACTTGTCTGCATCTTTTATTGCTATTTTTTTCCTCCATGTGAAAAAGTTGGAGGTCAACCTCATTTTTGTTATACATATGCATATGTGTGTGTGTGTATTAGTTGTATTCTTGGCAACATTTAGTATATCAGAGCATCAAATTTTGGGTTTCAGTGACGACCCTTGCTTTCCCGTGGTGATGCGAGGCTGGATATGAACTCAATGTGCTCATCATATTTACAAGGTGTATAATTGGCCTGAATGTACCGTGCTCGACAAATTCCTAATGAAATATTATATGTTTTTGTTTTTGCACCTTAAAAGTCTTCAGAAGTTATCTGCATTGGGAAACTCAGACTTAAATATCAAGAAAGAAGTGACAATTCAGTTGCAGCACATGTATGCTTGCATAGTCTTCCCTGGCCTCACATTTGACCAATTTTTTTAGATTATACATTTTGCTCTTTAAGTTGGAGATTTTTTATGGATTTTTTACGATATCCAAGAAAGCAAAGACATGGTTTTATTGATGCAGTTGATATATTAGTTGGATTGTGTTTCAAACGATTTGCTAGATTGAGTTCCTGTCCTGTTTTAGTCAGCCCACAAACCTAACTCTACCTACTTTAGGAGGTTTCCTTGCAATTACATCGATCGTCAAATCCTAAATGTCTACAGAGTCTAAATGGTGTCTCACTGTTAGGATATGGCAACCTAATCTAAATTCTAGCATGACCTAAGAATTTCTGCAGCCGATGGCAATCTATTAAGTGCTGTAGATGGCTTCCACTTTTTTGCATTGGCTCCATAGGGAACTTGATTGACTGGCCAATCTCAGATCTGAACATCAGATCCAGTTGTTGCATGAGGCTATAAATGTTGCATGGGAGTCTTGTATGTGGTATATCTATCATGGTGCAGATATTACCATTTGATTTCCTGCTTATGTCATGTACTGACTTGTGACATTTGACAAAGTTTATTAGTTTCATTGTTGCAATATTCTTGTATTTTGTCAACGCATTCTCATATAAGAAACTGAATCGGCTCATTTATGATGGAATGTTCTCAAAGTCAAACCGTGGTATCATCATCTTAACTTGTTTTTTGCTTTTTGTGGATTATTAAAGGAACTGTGAGACTTGGGCATATATTAGAACTTTCCTATCAAGGATAATATGGCCACAATAGCTATCATTGTCATATAGCTTGCCAAAGTAGAAAAATGTGCTGCTTTTTCTTATTGCTGCTCATCCTACCTTCTCATGTAGAATACAAATATACAGACAGTTACTAATTGTCACACCGGCGCTCTTCCTTAAAGGTTAAATTTCCGTTCTTATCTCAGGTATTTGCTAGAACGGTGATTTGCCGAGATTTGGATGTTGCTACCCGTGTTGCTCGTACCGATGGTTTGGACTGCATTACTGTCGAAGGTTTCCTTCTTGATTTGTGTTACCTATTTTTTTGCTTTTGCCATAATGTTTGTTTCTATTAAGTTTATTTTTCATCTGTTATAGGTGACCAAGTTAGCAAAAAAGGTGGTATGACAGGTGGATTTTATGATAAAAGGCGTTCAAAGCTTAAGTTTATGAACATCATTCGACAAAATGCCATATCAATCAGTGCAAAGGAAAACGAACTTCATGATGTCAGATCTGAACTTCAGAATATCCTTTGCATGACCTTTTTTCTGCTTAAACTGGTTTTATTACATATTGTTCTTTATGCAACTTTGCTAAGTTTTAGAAATCCATTGGCTCTTGCTATTGTATGGGGTTGAGCTTTGCTTGCTTGTGCATGGGTTGGTTTGTCCCGATCGATTGTTCATCTACATGGGGAAGCTTAGTTTCTCCGAGCCAGGGAGGGCGTGCTATTTGTTTATTGGATGTTTGCGTTTAGATTCTCAAACAGATTTATGACTTGCATGCAACAGCTAGAAGCCTGGAGCTTGTGGACCCTACCTAGTGTTTGGCATATTTTCTTTTTAAATGTGTGACCTTGTTTGTATTTAAATCATGGTATGGTACATTGCAAGTCCCAACTGGAATTTATGGCATCAGTAGGTTGATTATATGATAGGTTCTTGAACTTTCATTCACTCTGAATTGTTTTAATTCCTTCGTACTCTCTTGATTTTCCAAACAGTGCTCAGAGTTGGTGAGTCATAAACATGCTAGATAGATGTTTAATGTGGAATGTTGAACTTATTTCCAAAAGTTGAACTGTCAATGAAACATATAGAAATTTCAAGGAAAGAACTAGTATTGCTATGAAATCATGACATAAAAGTTATCCAGTAGACAATGATAGTGAAGTTAGTGTTAGGATTGAGCTAAAACTTATGTACTTGTGTACAAGCAATGATTTATACATCTCATGTTTCTGTGTATCTGCATTGTTAGAGAAATTGGCTTGTATTTTTTTATTTATTTTTTTCATTTTGTATGTTATCCAGAGGAATTACCAGCTTGTACATTCCCAAGGTGTTTTGACTGGGGTCCCTTGTGTCCTATAATTAGGACATGAGTAGACTGATTTCATTAATTATTTTGTTTATTCTTCTAGATGTTTCCATCAAATCTTATGTTACTGGTTTGGACTTGACTTCTCGCACTTATAGACAAGGAAATCAATGAAATTGTTGCTGAGCAGCAAAAAGATGACGCTGAGCTGGCGCATGAGAGATCAGAACTGGAACAGCTTAAGCAAGATATTGCTAATGCTAACAAGCACAAACAGAACATCTCCAAAGCTCTTGAGAAGAAGGTTTACAAGGAGCTCAACTGCCCTCTTGTTGAGTTATGTCAGTCTTACATTCTAACTGTTTGGATGAATTAAACAATTGGCAGGGAAAGTTGCTTGCAAATGTACAGACTCAAATTGAGCAGGTTAAAGCTAATATTGCTATGAAAAGAGATGAGATGGGAACAGAACTTGTTGATCACTTAAGCCCAGAGGAAAAGGATCTGCTGTCACGATTGAATCCTGAAATAGCAGACCTTAAAGAAAAGCTCATTGCCTGCAGGGCAAATCGAGTAGAGGTTTGCTGATAAATGTTACTGCGAGTTACTTAAAAATAATTTTTTTAGTTTATATCATCTTATTATTGTTTTCTTGGTAGACTGAAACAAGGAAAGCAGAGCTTGAGACCAATCTATCAACAAATCTTGTTAGAAGGAAACAAGAACTGGAGGCAGTGAAACAGTCTCCAGAAATGGATACGTTGAATGCTGAAGTGGAAGCAAAGAGACAGGAACTTCAAGATGCAAAAATGTTGGTGGAAGAAGTGAAAAAACAGCTGAAAAGTAGGAAGTTTAAGATTCTCTGCATCAAGTTTCTAATATCACTAATCAGTTTCCTTGTCTTAAGCTTCAAAATTTTTCATTTTAACAGGAGTTTCTGAGAACATTGACGATAGAAACAAGGAACTCAAGAAAATTAACAAAAAGAAGAGTGAGTTGAAGGTAATTTTTGCTTTTCTATATCCAGGGACTGCAGTTATGTGTGGCTGTAATTGTCATTGGTAATACATTTCCTGTAAGTGCAGGCTCGTTTGGAGGAGTATGAAAAGAGCCGCCAAAATGATGATAAACGAGCAGAACAACTTATTAGTAGAAAAAATACTTTACTTGCAAAGCAAGAAGAGTACTCCAAGAAAATCAGAGAATTGGGGCCATTATCATCAGATGCATTTGAAATGTAATCTTAGTCTCTTGAATTTCCTTTGTTATTGCTGAAATATTACACTTTTACGGCTGCTCTTTTATGCATTATATAATGGTAGTATACTTTCTTGTTAACATATCAAAATACAGGCACAAGCGAAAGGGCATGAAGGAATTATATAAAATGCTGCACAAATGCAACGAGCAATTAAAGCAGTTTAGTCATGTAAACAAGAAAGCACTTGATCAATATGCAAACTTTACAGATCAAAGAGAAGAACTTCAGAAACGACAACAGGAACTTGATGCTGGTGATGAGGTAATTAACCTCCTTCAGTCATATTTCTTCTCTCACTTTAAGTAGTCGGCAATGTAATAGCAAGGTACCAATGTGGTTTTATTCATCTTCTATACCAGAAAATCAAAGAACTTATATCAGTACTAGACCAACGTAAGGACGAATCCATAGAGCGTACTTTCAAAGGTGTGGCTAAACATTTTCGGGATGTATTTTCTGAACTTGTCCAAGGTGGTCATGGATTTTTGATCATGATGAAGAAGAAGGTTGGTTTTGTTTGGTTTTTCTGTTAGACAATTACTAGACTTGTGGCTTTTTTTAACTTGTTGCTTCCGGGTTTTTCCTATAAAACAGGATGGTGATCCTGTTGATAATGATTATGATGAGGATGGTCCTCGGCTACCTGATACAGAAGGGCGTGTTGAAAAATACATCGGTGTGAAAGTGAAGGTAGCATTCATTAAAGCGTTTTGTCTTAATTTGGCATGACCTCACAATATCACATTCCATATTATAGTCCTTTCTTTGGTGACTTTTGTAGTTTGAATTCTCTTCTAAAATCCAGTTGTGGTATTGAATTACATATGCAAATGTTGATTTTTGATGTTGGAATTAATATGGCAGGTTTCCTTCACTGGACAAGGGGAGACACAGTCAATGAAGCAATTGTCTGGAGGTCAGAAGACTGTGGTTGCATTGGCACTGATATTTGCCATACAGCGATGTGATCCTGCTCCATTTTACCTTTTCGATGAAATAGACGCTGCACTAGACCCTCAGTACCGAACAGCAGTTGGAAGTATCCTTTTCTTGTACTTGAAATTAATTTGGTTAATGTTAGAAAGTGAAAGAGTTTGTGTATATTATTGGGGTTCTTGACAAGTTGTTTGTAGATATGGTTCGGCGTTTGGCAGATATGGCGAGCACGCAGTTCATTACAACAACATTCCGGCCTGAACTAGTGAAAGTTGCTGACAAGATATACGGGGTGACACACAAAAACCGGGTTAGTCACGTAAATGTTGTGAGCATGGAAGACGCGTTAGATTTCATCGAGCATGACCAATCGCATAATGCTGAATGATTGGGGTGGGTTTGTATAGCAAGTAGAGAATACTATTACTACCTCCTGGTGCTGCTGGTATAGAAAGAAAGAAAGAAAGGAAGGTTTCATCTGTTTGTTTAACCAATTACTCTCACTGTTGTTTCTTTCTTTCAACTATTAGTTTCTTTGTTTACTGTACTAATTACTTAATGTTAATTGTTATGTATGAAAGCTGTTTTTCAAGACCATTTTCATTCACCTTCTTTATTTCTATTTTTTTTTATCATACATATATAAATATATATCACACATGTAACCATAGTTGTATTTGTAGATTTTTCAAATTACAATATCGTAATTAAAAAATAATTTGCAAATGTATTGTTATAATTTTTCAATGTAAAATGTCATTTAAATACTTTGCATTTAGCCCTAAAACAATTAGTTAAAACTTTGTTTGATACATACATCTTGAATCGAAGCTTTAAGAAGTAGTCCATTATCCATAACTTGTTCACTTGATTGCTATCTGTTAAGAGGGTATGGCCGGAGTCTTTACCTTTATCAAGTCTATTTTTTAACATCTTTTTACCATAAAAATTTAAAAATAACCAACAAACTTCTTTATTTTGAATGGTTTAGTTGTTAAACTATTTTTTTGAATGAAAAAACTTTTTCATTCAAAATGATTAAGTCTCTGAACTGTTTTTTTTTTTTGGAATGAAAATTTCTCATTTTGATTGATTAAGTTTCTGAACATTTTTTCTAATAAATAAAACTATTGCACTTTTAAAAATTGATTACCATCATCAGTTTAACCAAAAAAAAAAGTTACATTAACCGACTAGTAAAGTTCAATGGTTTATTTATTTCTAAAAAAAAATCAGGGTTTTAATCATTCAAAATGTAAAAGTTTAATGGTTTTTTCATTCAAAAATACAGTTGTGGGACTAAACTATTTAAAATAAGGAAGTTTATTGGGTTTTCCTCTTCATCATTTATATTCCCCCAAACATCAATCTAAAAAATAATGGTATTCAAACAAATTACAATTTACATATAATTATTATCAAATTTATAAAACAGCTGCCCATTATCATTTGTTCAAGAAAAAATACCTCGACTTTATTGGTATGCCATAAGTTTCATCACTCTTTTTGAATGAAAAGTTGTTTACTAATTTTTTTATTAAGTTTTATATAGATAAATTTATTTGTCTGGATAAATGAGTGTTGTTGTTTACCTTTTTTTTTTTTTCCTGAACCAACAGTTTGAATAACATAAATGACCGATTTACCCCCAATATTAATTATTTGAACATGAAAACAAAGAATCATAAAGAGACCGAAGATGGGGTGTCTCGTATAGGGAGGCAGTGTTTTAAATAAAGGATAGGAGTGTCATTTTTGTGACTGAATGTGAACAACACATCAATTCTATCTGTGCGATTAAGTCATGTTTTGTGCGAATAAGCTGTGTGTGAATAAGTCAGATAGACCAATAAGCCAAATTAAGCCGCAAATAAACAGTCCCTTAAGAATTGAAGTGAAACAATAGAAGATGACCAAAATACCCTTTTTGAATTATAAATAATAATAATAATAAAATTAAATTTAATATGAAATAATTTTGTAAGTTACGTTTTTTTAAATAAAGAGTAAATTACAGATATTTATACTATATTATAAAGTATTTGACAAAAACTCTTAAAAACCATTTTTTATGCATGAAGTACTGTTTATTCACACATATTACTTAAAATTTAAGATTACAAGTATTTTTGCATAACTACAACTTATTAAAGCTTCATTTTTAAATTCGTGTAACTAATTGTTGATAAACATAATCAAATATAGGATAAACATCCATTTTAAAGATAGAAAATCTAAAATATAATTAAGATAATCATTGAGTTCTAACAGAATGTTTAATTATTATTTTTATAAAAAATTATATTATTAAACCAAAAATAAATAACTTTGGTATTAAATCTAAATTAAATTATAATAAAAAATTAAATTAGAGAAGTTACACAAAAAAAGCGATAACTATTAAATAGTTAACTTGATAGTATTACCGTTTTATTTTTTTACAAATTTTTATGTTATCTTCAAATTGATATTTTAATTCAAAAATAAAAACATTACCGCTTTCTCAAAACCACATAAAATCATATTATATCGATAGAGACAGAATAATAACTAAACATTAAAATTGAGATTTATCTCGTTGCATTGGACGAGTAACTTTCTAATATACTCGAACACATACATACACACATATTTAACACAAATCTCTCTAGCAATCATATCCGGCTTCTAGGCTCCCAACTTGCATCCATCTTCTACTCCGACGCCTTCCCATCTCCCTCCCACCGCGTCTACGATAACAACATCATCTACATCATTTGGTTGATGAAGTGTTTTTCCGTTTTTCATTTTCTAAGGTTTTTTTTTTCCTGAACCTCCCCCCTCTCTCTACGTATATACACACATACGAGAAATCTTGTGAGAATAAGAGTTAGCATCATCTAAAATTTACTCAAATAATATATTGGAAGGGTATTTTCGTCATTGTGTAATCTTTCAATTGAATTCAATCGTACAATTATCCGAAGATATTGACCAAATCTCTCTGTGATCATCGCCCAACGTGGAAGGTAAGTCCGCCATGAATTCTTGATTCTTTCTCCATGAGATTCATAATGTAACTCGTCCTATTGATTTGAATATTTTCATTGTCTGATTTTTGTTTTCTTGATTTGAATATTTTCACTGTTTGATTCGTGTTTTATTCTATGCAAGTATTTTCACTGTTTGATTCGTGTTTTATTCTATGCAAGTATTTTCACTGTTTAATTTTTTTTTCAAAGTTTGCTTTACAACAATAATAGGCCTACAAATGCCATCATCAAACCTCTTAAATAGGTAGATACTCTGAATCTCATACTCCTTAGTTTCCCCTTAAATACTTACCACGGCGACCGACTCAAACGCTCAGTGCAGAAACAATAGCTAACAAACAAATACTCGAATCAAACACCGATTAATACAAAAAAACTAGATTTAAACACGAGACTCGAGTTTCAGAGCGATCATGAAAGCTAGATCAATATATTAACTAAAATAGAAATTAAATTAATAAATTACATTCCTAATTATTAATTAATCTCCAATAAATAAAATAAGCTATACTTAATTAAAATCCAATAATTAAGCCCAATTACATTCGCACTCCAGTCCTTTTTAATTTAATAAACCAATAAAACATCTAATACAAATAAATACTCATTAGGCTTCCGTTCCGTTTAAATCAAAATTCATGGTCCATAACAAAAGAAGCCCAACAGAATTTGGCCCAACCTCCATCAGATCCAACCCCGTGCTCCAGACCCAAGAACTACACCTGATCTGACGGGTCCATGTTGGTGACCTGACGCGAGTATTGTCAGCGGGTCACAACTTCTTCAAACCGTTTAGCCTCGTTTTTGGGTCATTTTTCCTGATTTTTATTAAAAAAACTATAAAAAATGATTTTCCTTAACCATAAAAACAAGAATTAACGGAAACTATCAAGTATTGAGTCTCATATGCCCATTTAAAATTTGGGTTCATAAACCACTAGAAACTCGCAAAAAAAAACTCAAAATTGGACCTTCAAAACTAGAATCTTAGAAAAAAAAGCTATTAAGGTCCAATAGAGGACTTAGAAATGAAGCTAACCATATAAAGAACTCGAAATTTGTTTGAGTATTTTATCTCTAATCGTCGATAAACGGAGTTTTTCGACTTCGAACTTCAACTTTCGATTTATCTCTCAAAACTCGAGGAAATACCGATCTTCTTAAACCAAAAGTGTAGAGGAAAATGTTAGCTACATATATCTGAACTCTTATCCTTTTTCCTCGAGCTGGTGAGCCAATAGGAGGCTTCAAAAAACAACCATGAACCGTCCCTTTCAAAGATTCAAACGTGTCTTATTTACAAATCAAGTCCCTCAAGTTTGGACCTGTTAACATCTGACACTCTCCTTAAATTTTCAGATAACAACATTTAGCCCCCTGACTTTAATACTTTGACCAACTTTACACTATCGCCCCAATCTGACATTTCCCTTCGTTTTTAGTCCGATCAAACACAACTCTTTTTCTTCATTTCTCACTTTCATTAATTGACATGATTGGCCCTTTTTCACAATTTCTTCACATTTTTATCCAATAAAATAAAAACCAAATATATTTTATTTTCCCTTTTTTTCATATTTATTTATTTACCCAATTTAAGGATGTCACAGGATTATTTTACAAAGTCAACTCCTAAACTATTAGCTAAGTACAAAAGTAAGGCTTCCATGTAGAGCATCTTTCCTTCCAAAAGCCAACTGCTACACTTTTCAATAGATGCTCTTTTCAAAAGTTGAGTGCAAAAAATTTCCTTTGTTGATTGAGTCAAATGGCTAGCTCCTGTTGCTATGGCAACACCTGCTGCAGCAACAATTTTTTAACAGATTTATCCACAACTATATAAAACAGGACCAAATTCTACAACCTAACTCCAAACAATCTTAAACCATAAAATAAGAAAAATGACTTAATATATGATTGAGAAGAATTAAAACAAAGTTCTAATTAGGTACTAAAGTGTATAATTCTATACACTTATCAATTACAGAGAACACAAAGAATCTCTAGAGAAATCAAGCTTGAGAAAGCACATGGGCGATCTTCCAGAGAAACACTAAGAGAAGGATAGTAAGGAAGAAGATGACTTCTAAGATCTTTTTGGACGATTGTTGAGAGATGAGAGTTTCTCAGCTATTTATACCATGAGCAATTAATGCAAAGATATGGTACTATCCACGTGTCATCTGGAGAGAGGCTGGTTGGTTCACTTTGTCCTTAAGTTGAGCAGATTTTGGCCGCATAAGTGAACAGTGCAGCATGGGAGTGATCTTGTTTGATTTATGTGCGACGAACAAGACTTTTCGATATTAGTTATATTACTAATTACATATGAACCTATGGCATCACACATAAAGAGCAATAATGACATTATATAAATTTTGTGTGTGTATGTGTGTATATATATGTGATAACTGGATTCTGGTTGTCACTTGAGGTAATTAATATGTGATTATTTGTTAAATGATTATATGATAACATGATAAATTGATATATTTAATCATGTTAATATGTGAAATCATAAGCATAAATGGGTATGCATCAAATATGTGGATATTTACATACATAAGGAAGTACA